CTTTGCCTCGAGTTACGAACGGAAGAGCGAGGAGGGTGCTTGTCTCCTGAACAAACACCACATACTTTCCTCTCTCTTTCAATTTTTTTCCTTTTTCCTCCCCTCCTCCTGCCGATTTTACAGAGAGCCGGGGGGGCAAGCAACGAGAGACTAGGAGGACAGCTTTAATTAATTAAATTAAAAGACCTATCTGAATCACGAGCCTCAATTTCCAAGCTGGTTGTTCCGGCGTCAGAGCTCCTGGGACCCTCCCTCTCTGCAATGGTAGGCTCCCAAGGCAGGGCGGATTGTCAACCGGTGGCGTGAATCCCGGGAGGATTGGGGCAGATGGAGGGCGTAGAGCAGCAGCAGCAGCTCCCTCCCCCACCTGTGGCTGCTTGGCCCGTCACCTTCTGCCCTGAGCTCTGTGGAGCATGGTGGGAATCCCGGGAGGATCAGGGTGGATGGAAGGGGGTGCGCGGAGGAGCAGCAGCAGCTCCCTGCTCTGCCTGGCTGGTGAACTCCCACGGCTGCCAAAGTCAACCTCTCTCTCCCTGGATCGCTTAGCTGCTTGATTGCTGGCTGGCGCGCACGCCCACCCGCTCGGAGGATTCCGCGTGTGCCTCAGAGCTGGCGCATTGGCAGCAGCGCGGCATTCATGTCCCCCTTGGGTTGCAAGAAACCAGCTCAAAGGTAGGTGTCACATACAGCACTGATGGTACCTGTCTGTCATGGGTTTGGAGGGAAAGTTCCATCCTATGGGGAGTGGAAGGCGGGACATCAGGGGGAGGAGCTGTAATGTCTATATGTTTGGAGCTTGTGTGGAGAGTGAGGAGTTGGAGTCTGTGTGTCAGACTGAGTACAACTGTGAGTCAGTTAGTACATACCTGATAGGTTCAGGTTTCTTTATAGGTAGCCAGAACTGATAGGTTCAGGGTCTGTGCTTTACTTTAAAGTGTTCTGTGTGAACCAAACTGTTGTATGTATGATTGAGACTAAGCCACGTTACAGTATCGTCTTTACCTGATCATTTTATTTTCCCTGTTTGTTATTTAAATAAACCTTGTTCTTTTGTTTAGTAAAATCCATTCCTGGTCTGTGTGACTTCTTATAGGGAATGGTTGGTGGCAGCATAGTTAAAGTGTGGCACACTCCAGTAGGTCTGGGGTTGTCACAGTAGGCAAGACACCTGGACAGGGAAGCCGCTCGTCACCTGCGGAGGGAAGAGGAGCTCCTTGGGCTCCTTGATTCCTGCCGATTTTACAGAGAACGGGGGGGGGGCGTACTGAATGCAGGAGAGACTGGCACGGGGGAGTGGGGAGGAAGGACTGAGACCGGGAGGACTTTTCTAGGCAGAGCTGTAAAATATGAGATTCACATTCTCAGTGGGTTCAGCCCTAAACCTGCAAGGGCCATTCTGCCTTTTTGTTTTTATGGTACCCAGCTTTGAGTGGTGGGTGAGAGCACAGTTAAACCCTTTACACCAACTCTGCCATTCCTGGAGATGTGTCACATTCCCAGGGGGTTTCAACAGGCAAAAGTCCAGTGAGCCAGTCCAATATCAGAAGTCCAGAAGATACAAATCAGATACCAAAATGCCAAAGCAGAAGTTAAAGTCCAAAGCCAAGGGTCCAGAGAACAAGGTCCAAGATAAGCAGGAGTGTGGATGCAAGTCAGAGTGTCAACTTGTTGCTTCCAAGCCTTCTAAGTGCAGATTATATAGCAAAAATAGTAATCAAACTCCTAGAAGCCTTCCATCCTGTTAAAACTCAGGTTGACCTGATGTTCCTGTGGGAAGCATTCATGCAAACCTCTGATCTTCGTGTCATGAGTCCTTGCAGAAGCTTAACCCTCACTCTGGCTAGTGGTGGGGGGAGAATCTGGTGATGATTCAGCTGTCTGTGCTTCTAATTGCCCAGCATTTTCCTCAGCTGTAATTAACCCCTCAGATTCCAGATCTTCTTTGGCTGAATTCATGACAGATGTTTAATTTGTCATGGGGAGACATATCTTCATTGCTACCCTTTGTCTTACTGTTATATTCTGTATGTGAGTTTGTGGTTGAGAAGTAGTCAGAAACTTCAGCTGCACCAAAATGCTATACCCATATTGTTGCTAGGGTTCATTATAAGCAGCACATGATTCCTGTATTATGAGATCTTTAGTAGCTACTACTCTCTACAACAACTTGGGTTAATGTTATTTGAAGAGATATGAGTTTTCCCAAATGCTGATATCATTGGAGCGGCCCATCTTTCAGCTCCACCATCTGTGGCAAGTCTAGTATGAATGCAAGCAAGGGCTTTCTTAGTAGGCAGTGGGATTTTTTTTAAATTCCTTTTTCACTATAACTACCACAATTCACTTGGAATTCCTCCAGCCAGAATTCTGGCACAAATAAATCAAAGTCTTCAGAGGAGTTTCAGAACACATACTTGTGGCCCAGCATGTTGTTCTCTGCATCATTATAAAGGGAGAAAGTGAGTGAGATTTGCTCAACTCCATAGAAGTTACAATTGTGAAATTGGCAGGTTTTTAACTGCAGAGAGTCTGTCAGTGAAGCTTATATGTGTCTGCTTGAAATTTCTCTGAGGACTTACCTTGAGTCTCATCTATGAAAAAAGGCAGAATATAATCAAATCAGTATAATACAATATAGTTGTTGTTGTTATTATAAAACACCAGGCATAGTCAATTGAAATTATAAAGAAAACATTGACTGGTATATATCAGACACAATTTTTAATCAAAAACCTAAGTAGCTGTTAAATATTGGCACAGTATGTATCCTGTTCCTAATACAGTATTGCTGTTTTTTGTAGCGCTAATGGTGTTGTTTATGAGATCTGCAACTGCTTATAATATTGTGTGAAATATCTTGATATTGTTCCCAAAGCTCCAATGACTATGACTAGGGAGACCACTGAAGGGTGTTTCATCCACAAGCAAGATATTTCAGTTACCAGATCTCATTATTTGGTTACTTTTTCTAATTCTTTATCTTCAGCTCTGGCATTCCCTGGAATTGCAATATCAGTGATCCAGACATTTCTTCGTTCTATCACTACTATGTCTGGTGTATTATATTCAAGGTGTCTGTCGGTTTGGATTTGGAAATACCACAGGATCTTGGCATTGTCATTTTCTGACACCTTCTGTACCTCATCTTCCCATGGGTTTCTGGAGGCTGGCAAGTTATATTTTTTGCATAATGACTAGCCCATTTGTCTTCAGATGCCTAGGGGCTATAGCATCTGACACGGTCCTTGTTGACCCGGGCGATGACTGATCTAGTATGGACTTCTGTTTATTTCTTCTCATAATTAATGTTTGGTGGACACAGTTAGTCTGGCTTCTCAGCTGAGATCTGTCTGGCTTGAGAGACCATTAAGCATAACTCTCAACCTCACTGAAGCACGCAAGCCCCTCTGCCTCAACAAAGTCTGTACCCATGGAGCGGATGGTGATAATGATGACAATGATTAAATATCACATCAGTGAAATGGGTGAACCAGTCTGCAGTTGTAGGCATACAATTTCCTTGAGGTGAGACACATTGAAATACAACAGATCCTTGAACATACTGTTTTAATTTGAAACAGAGGAATCAGGTTTTTTTTAGAAGAATATCTCCAAAGTGTTTAAAAAATGTTTGTTGGGTAAATAAAACAGTAGATATTTAGCAACATTGTTATTGTCAAATTCCTGTTTGATCCTCCCATCTAATCATTGTTTATACTAAATATGTAAAACATTATTTGTTTTTTTTTACTTCTTCTGTTTATTCTTGCAAGCGGTGATTTAATTAAGGTTTCCATATTTTATGCCTAACAGAGATCCATATTTTCACTTTTTTTCAAGTTTTCTATTACTTCTTGTCATGTCTCCTTATGTGTTAATAATAACCTATCAGTATTCTGCTTTTATCAGTTACTCCTGAAGATGACATAAGGTTTTTGTCTTTTGTCTTTTTTATTACTTTTTCCCTTGGGTTTTTCCTGATATGCTTGCACAGACTACACAGCTACTTGTTCTAAAACTGCTTTTATCATGATTTCAAAGCTTAAGCTAAAATGGACAGAAAGGTGACCAAGTAGCTCCTTGTCTTCTGTCTCCAAAAAGATATGTACAGTTCAGTTCCTGGGGACACTAATAAGATTCTAGAATGCCTTTGGATAGCATTACAGTAAAAGTGGGGGTGGGGGGTTAAGTTACTTAGAGTGTTTTGATTTCAAGTTATATTGCCCACATTCAACAGTCATGTGAAAAAGAAAGTATAGTCGTGCCCCACACAGCGATGTTAATCCGTTCCGGATAAATCATCGCTATCCGGAAACGTCACTATGCGGGGGGGGGAACCTCATAGGAACGCATTAAACTCAGTTCAGTGTGTTCCTATGGGGACAAAACTCACCGTTATGCGAAGATTCCCTATTCGGACGCCATTTTCGCTGCCTCGGTAAGCGAGGGCATGGTGCGAAAATGGAGTGGGCGGCCATTTTCTTCTTCCGGCGGCCATTTTGGAACCGCCGGTCAGCTGTTGGGGAAACATCGCAATGCGATGTTTTGCCACCTAAAACATCGCAATGTGATCGCAATAGCGATCGCAAAAAACGCGTCGCTATGCGGATTCATCGTTAAACGGTGTGCTCATTAAGCGAGGCACCACTGTACATATTCCTTGAATGTTACCGTTTTTAGGTATCAGGACATAATAAAAATAATCTGGTCGTTAGCAGGTCTGAAAATTAGGTAAATACACCTCAGATGAACAACATGGCATATTACATTGTATCATGATTTATTTTACAAAAATAAAACCAAAGTGGCGAAGCCATGTGTGAAAAACTAAGTACATCTTTACTGCTTCCATAGGAATTAAGGAAATACAGAAATTAAGATTAAGATAATTATTATGTCCTGATATATAAAACAATATAATTCAAAAAGAGTGTACTTTTTTTTTCACATGACATACTTAAAGCTCAAATATAACTATCTCCCCTGTTTTATCTTACCAGGAAGTTAAGAGAGAGACTGAGTCAAAAGAGGATGCTTCACCAATCAAGAGGGAAAGGCATGGAAATGTGGCCAATCTTGTTCAACGTATGAGCACTTACGGGCTTCCAGCAGGAGCATTCCAGCCTCAATCCCAGTCTAAAGGCTTCAGAAGGAGTATGTTGTATTCTTTTGCTGTTATTGTTTCTTGTTGGGCTACCAAGGAATTAAAGGATATCTTACAGGACCTCTGGCAGTGGTGGAAAATGTACTATCATATATTTTAATTGATTTGTGCAGTCATAAGTGTAAAACATAGTGAAGAAAAGTTGTGAAGCTCAGGAACCTAACAAGACATCAGTTATTGTAGAAAAGACCACTTTCAGAGTTTGTGCATAGCTGGCAGTACTGCAAATGCATTCAGATATGCCTTTGAGGAATAAGTCACAAAGGAATAAATCATGGAAAGGAAAAATACATTAACAGAAAAGACATAAATCTCTTGAAACTTAATTGATTATAGACATATATTTAATTGATATCCTGGTGTTAAGCCGGTTTGGCAATTGAAACTAAATTGCATGTTAAACATTGAGCATGTTAAATTGGCAGATAGTATTTTTAACTGTTTCTAACCTATAAGACCAGATTGTATGTTGGATAAGAACTGGTCAGAATTAACAAGAAAATATACTGCCATTCTAAGTGCTTTTCCATCTTTGAATTCATTGTGGTGTAACATTGTAAAATGTCTAAGAACAGGCAAGTAGGCAGCAAATACATTACTGGTTGGAATTCAGGAAAACTATATTTGAGTTCAGATCAAATGGTCCAATCCTATAGCTTAATTAAATTTAAAATATATTTCTAAAAATGAAATACACTGTGCAGATTCATAGATTGTCAATTCAATTGTCCCCTTGAATGTTTCGTTCCATCCAAATTCCATATGATTTGTAAATATATAGAAATGTGTATACAGTGGTGCCTCGCATAACGTTTTTAATTGGTTAAAAAAAACGTTATGCGAAACATCGTTATGCGAAACACCATTTCCTATAGAGATGCATTGGAAACCGGTTAATCCGTTCCAATAGGCACGGATTGCCGTCCTTAAGCGAAAAAACCCATAGGAAACATCGTTAAACGATACAATGTATCCTCCATTGGAATGTATTGTAGCTGACTCAATACGTTTCAATGGCTTTGCGAAGTCAATTTTTGCAAAATTAAGTGTGTCATAAAAGGGTCAAAATGGTTTTAAATGCTTGGATTAGCTTCTGCACCCTCTAAAACGGATGCAAAAGTTAATTTGGCTTTGATCTGACTTTTCGTTAATTAATGGTGAATTTTTTCCCCCCAACTTTTGACAGGTCCATTGGTTCCTATGGGCCAAAAAACAAAAATTCACAAAAAATTAACGAAACGTCAGATCAAAGCCAGATCAGGTTTGCACATGACTTAAGGGGTCCTCTAACGAATCCAAGCATTTAGAACCGTTTTTGACCCTTCTAAGACACTTTTTTAATTGAAAAAAGAAACATCGTTAAGTGAAGCAGGGGACCTAAAATCGCATTCGTTATGCGAAGCATGGTCCCAAACTTCGCTAAGCGAAAATTGCCCATAGGAAACATCGTTATACGGTGCATATTATTTTCTAAAAAAAACACATCGTTATGCAAAGCGAGGCACCACTGTATATAGAAATGATTTTGCACATTTTCAAATGTAGACATTGTTATATGCATACTTCCGTTATCTAAAATGTATTTTCACATATTTTAGAACCAGAAAGTTTTCTTTGTGCCTTCTTTAAATGTGTGTGTATTGCGGAAGGAATTACTATCTTTTGTGGAAGACATCCCAAGCTTGGAAATACTATTTCCAGTTTTTGAACTGCTAATATTATAATTTCCAGTTTTTGAACTGCTAATATTATAATCAGAGCTTGAAAAATGTACTCGTCCACTCATCTGTGACAAGTGACAAAATGCTGCTTGACAGGCCACAGCTCCCTCCCTCCTTGCCTCCTTACCCTCCACCCGTCTTCTCAATGATCCTGCAGTCCTCCCTTCCTCCCTCCCATTGCAAAAGTAAAACAGTCCTCGTGACAAGAGAGTTCGAGTGGCACATAGATATATAGCTATGCAGGAGAATGTAGATTTGTCCCATGCTGCAGAATATGGAGATTCCCTGCTTTCAGTTTCAACCCAGTGACATATCCTGGGGTGGGAGGGAACCGTGGCTCCTTAAGAGGCTGGGCACTTTTGCTTTCAGTTTTATTTTTGCTAGAGACTTTCAAGAGAAAGGCATTCAAAATGACCCCACAGAAGCAGGTAATAAAGCAACCCAAATCTGAGAGTATATTTATTTTGGGTTTGTATGCATTGTTACATAGAAATACAGTGGTGCCCCGCATAGCGACGATAATCCGTGCAGCAAAAATCATCACTATGCGGATTCGTCACTATGTGACATTAAAAAGCCCATAGGAATGCATTGAAACCCCTTCAGTGTGTTCCTATGGGCTTGAAACTTAGCTTTTAAGTGAAAATCCTCCATACGGTGGCCATTTTAGCTGCCCGGTAAGCGAGGAATCCGTCCCTGTTTTACCCGGCAGCCATTTTGGAACCGCCGATCAGCTGGGGAAAAATCGCTATGCGAAAATCGGTAAGCGAAACAGCTTACCAATCATCGCAAAGCGATTTTCCCCCATAGGAAAAGCAATTGCAAAAACATCGGCGCTATGCGGATTAGTCATTAAACAGGGCGCCAGTTATGTGAGGCGCCACTGTAAAACTGAACAAGGGCCTAGTTTAAATTTGTTCAGATAATTTGCAAGGCTACAGTCCAGTCATGCTGACTGGTGAAATTTTTGACTGACTGGTGAGACATTCTAAAAATTTTCAAGCCCTGATTATATTTGCTTCCCAAAATTATAAACTGGATAAGTCCATCAAAATAAAAAATTAAGAATAACATGATGATGATGATAGTAACTGGCATAAATTTCTGAGTTACCCTAATTCTTTTGATGTCACAGCTATATTGAAAAATACTGTCCTATAATTTTTGAAAAAAGAAGAATCTGTAGAACAATTTCCAGTGAGCAAGAAACTATTGTTACCTGGTTGCAGCAAGAACAACGAAATGTAGTCCTTTCAGCCTGGTTCAGTTATAATGCTAAACTTAGAGCACGGTTACACTATGAAAATGAAATGCTAGCTAGACTGGGTTTTTTGAAATCAGGTTACATTTGCATGGCAGTCTCATGGTATCTGGGTCAGTATGTTTGTCCTCTTTGGAAAACTTCTAATCCATTTTAAGCTGTGTTGTATCTCAGTTGAAAGGACTACATGGGTTTTTTAAACTGTTGCAAGGATGTGACTTGTGCCAGCATATGTGTGCCCTCATGCTGGCCACTTGTTGCCACCGCTGCTTTGATGTGTGTTTTTGAGAAAAATATATTTTATATTTTTATGTACTGTACATATTTCAAACTGGCATGGCTCTTTGCAAGACATAGAGAGACACACAGGAGAGTGAGGGAACAGCAATCAGTGATGGCAAGAGGGAAACACAAGAAGAATTAACCAAAGCCCGGCAGCTTTCCCCCACCCATGGCTGGCTGGCTGGTTTCAAACTGGCAGAGACTCCTCCCTGGACGCACACTCAGAGACAGAAAGGAAAGCAAGGCTTGCAGCCTTGGGCTGGTGGCTTTTCATTATTGTTATTTCTTTCAACTGATATATTGCTATATAAGCAGGCAGAAAGGTCTGTGAAGTTGTGGAAGGAGTGAGGGGGAGGGTCTGCTTGCAAAACTGCTTGTCCCTTTGGAAAGCTTGGGTACTTCTGTCCCTTTAAGAATACTCCAGCTGTTGTCTGGGAGGCAGAGAGTCACTATAGAGGTGTTCAGATATGCCAAAGCAATTCAAAATAAATTGATTGCATAGTTGAGTTAAAATAAACAACTCTCTTGCTGCCAAATAAAACACTTCATTTTCTGATTTTAAAAAAATGCTTCCCAAGGAGAAAAATCTGCACTTCCATGTGTGCTTTGTAGTCGCCTTTTTAAAAATCAATTTAAAACATGCTAAACCAGTTCAAATAAGGGCTTTTCTCCTTAATGTCACCATGCGCAAGGAACAAGAAGAAATGTGGAAGCATCTTCTATTTATTTTACCCAATTGTGTTTTGTCATTTGATTTTGATAGGACATTTTGTTGCTTAAAATATTACTTGTTGAAACAAGCTAGGATAAGATTGTGATGTATGATTCTGGGTTACTTCAGCAAAAGCTTCTGTTAGCACAAATCAGAAAGTAGATTGCTTTGTGCTTACATGTGTTTGTTTTCAACAGGATCAAAAAAGCGTCAGTGTAAAGTTTTGTTTGAGTATAATCCACAGAATGAGGATGAGCTGGAGCTGAAGCTAGGAGATGTTATAGACATTAATGAAGAGGTGAGTCTAAGTTTAAGCAGATAAAATGAAACTTGTGTGGGGGGAAAACAGGTCTGAAAAACAAAAATGTTCTGGTAGTTTAAAATCTTGGATTAGTTATAATATAGAACTCAGAATTATTTAGCTGGAAAGGGGTTTTCTTTATAATTTCTGGCAATTTCTGAATAATTAAATTGTGGAAGTTAGGGGTCATGGTTTCATTACATTATTTTATACAGAGGTTAAAGAGGTAAGGACCTAAACCCTGATTCTTGTACTGTAGCAACATGTGTCATAGTTGTTTATTTCTGTGTAGCTTTTCCTGTGAATGGATTATATAGAAGAGGAGAATGAATTCTTCTTGTGGCTGCAATACCCATGATGTTGTAAAACATCATAGCATGTAATGCTATGTAGATAAGATGGCTGAAGGCTGCTTGTGGCAACTCTAACACAGCTAGGGCTGTGCCAATCCAAAACCGTCCCATTTAGGTCTTTCTGCCAGCATAGTGTTTGCAAGTTTGGGCTGAGAGAAAGTAGAATCTCTCATAACATAACTCTTCCCCCACTCCATCAACCTCTCCTCTCCATTTCCCTATTGTTGGCCCTTTTGATAGCTGATCTCTGCCAGCATAGCAGTTATGCTAGCAGATTCAGTTGTGCCAGTACAAGAGACTTTTGCCAATTCCAAATGCCTTGCAGTAGTCAGTGTATCTTTCTGTTTGGATTGCAAAGTACATTGGATATTTAGAGTGAAACTGTACAGAGCTAAAGAACCCTCTCCATCAGAAGCAGCCTCATCCTTGATCAGATACGCCTGCTCCTGGACCTGTATCTGAGCACCACTTACTTCACCTACAGAGGTGACTTTTACAGACAGAAACATGGCTGTGTCATGGGTTCCCCCCAGTGTAGCCCATTGTTGCCAACGTATACATGGAAGAAGTGGAAAATAAGGCACTAAACACTTTCCAGAGGACGGCTGCGACCTATTGGTTTAGATATGTGGATGATACTTGGGTGACGATCAAGATTCAGGAAGTAAAGGCATTCACAGACAACAAAAATACAGTGGACCCAAATATCAAGTTCACCAGGAAGACACCAGACAACTGGCTGGCTTTCCTGAACTGTGCAGTCATCACGATCCAATGACAGCTTAGGAATAGAAATCTACAGAAACCCCCCCCACACACACACACACACTGATCAATACCTGTGGTCTGACTCTCATCTCCCATTGCAACAGAAATTAGGGATCATCAAGACGTTAAACCACAGAGCAAGAAACATACCCACCTCCACAGAAGCCAAGAAGAAGGAAGACGGATATCTGAAGACATGTCTTAAGGTCTGTGGATATCCAAAATGGACCTTTAACAAGGCAATGTCCCAACCCAGCAGGACAATGGACTATGGAAGAGTCTGACACCCAGAGCCAACAAGAACCTGGTCATTCCTTACATGGAGGGTGTGTCTGAAAAGCTCAAAAGGATTTTTGGTAAACACCACATACCCATGCACTTCAAACCCACAAACAGACTAAGGCAGAGACTCGTCCACCCAAAAGACTGGACACCATAGCACAACAGGAGCAATACAGTGGGGTCTTGACTTGCGAACGGCCCAAGGTACGAACTTTTTGAGTTACGTACTTCTCTGTCCGCAAAAATCCATTTTGACTTGCGGATGGAGAATTGAGGTACGTACCAAAAAGTTTTTTTAAAAAGCGGGAAAGCACCTGGAGCCGGGGGGTGGCGACGCGGCGAGAGGCAGCGGCGCTGCTCCTGCTCCAGGATTGGGGCGCCTCGGGGCGTTCCGGCCGCCAGAATTCCAGCCTAGCCAGGGCCTCCACCTGTCCTGGGTGGGCCCCAGTGAGCCGAGCGGCGGCGGTGACAAAAGGCAGCGGCGAGGACAGCGGAGGAGCCTCCGAACGCCCCAGTGAGCCTGTGCGGGAGGGCGGGAGCGAGTTCGTGGGGGTGGCACTGGCGCTGGGAGGGCTCCATGCCGGGGAACTAGGTGGGCGGCGGGTGATGGGAACAGGAAGGAGAGTGAGGAGGGCTGGGATCCGACTAGCGCTGGAAATGGGGCTTTTTATGGAGGGCTCGGTCCCCGGGCCGGGGTTCCGATTGGCTCTCGGGCTCCCGGCCACGCCCCCCCTCCCAGCTCCTCGGCCGGCCATGCAACGGCTTCGCGGCCCTTGACAAGCGAAATGTCTGGCACAAAAAAAATGGCAGAAGGCGAAATAGCAGCTTCCCATTACTTTCTATGGACGGTACAGAGCAGATACGGATTACAATGGTTTTCAATGCATTCCTATGGGAATGCAGATTTTGACCTGCGAACTTTTTGACCTGCAAACCGCCTTCCAATACGGATCAAGTTCGCAAGTCAAGACCCCACTGTATAGTGTATGCGGTCCAATGCAAAGAGAAGTGTTCAGAGCTCTACAATGGAGAAACCGAACAGGTGCTCCTTCCCAAGCGCCCGCTGGTCAGCTGGGTGAAAATGCCGGCCGGCGTTTCGGAAGGAGCGCAGGGGAGCCGTCCCCCACGCTGCTTCCCAAGCACCCGCTGGCTTTTCGGCCAGTTGACCAGCGGATTTTTTCGGCCAGCTGACCCATAACATCGCAATGCAGTCGCTTTTGTGATCACAAAATCCGCATCGCTATGCGGATTCGTTGTTAAACGGGGCACCCGTTAAGCGAGGCACCACTGTACTCATTTTGGACCAAGAAGATAGGTAGTTTGAGAGAGAGAACAGAGAGGCCATACATGTGCATATAGAAGATCCTCCACTCAGCAGGATTAGAGGCCATAGATACAGTCTCTTATTTATCAAGCTGCCCTTTCATCCATCCCCAGAAAGATCAGGACCACACCCACCAGAAAGACCATGGTTAGCGACTGTTAATGACCCCATAACAAAGGGTGGAGGAGGATTGCAGAAGTGGGATTTTCATTCATTCACTCCCCCCCCCCCCATTGTCCATCTCATGAGCCTATTCGGACCAGGGGGAAGTGAAACCAATGTGGAGGATATATCATGGGTCTCCTACCAACTCTCTTCAGACTGAAGAAGCTAATTGGATGAGTAGTGAAACATGTTTATAGTTTTAAATGTTTTTTAATGATGTAAGGGCCTTGGGTTCTTTTCAAGGAGAAAGAAATGATCATCTCTGTGGCATTATTTTAGATACTTGAAGATAGCTATCAATTTTAATCATCTCTACTCAAGGCAAAACATATCCACCTTAGTCAGGCTTTCCTTTCATGAGTAGATTTCCAGGCCCATCACCATTTTTGATGGTTTAGTTGGTCAGCCTCCTTCTTAAACTGTAGCATTTGGCGAAACGTTAGGAAGAACAACCTTTAGAACACGGCCAAAGAGCCTGAAAAACCCACAACAACCAATATTGCTAAACTTATGGGAAACTTTCCTTACATATTTTCAATAATATAAAATCATCTTGTCCACAGGTGGAAGAAGGCTGGTGGAGCGGAACTCTAAATGGCAAATCAGGTCTATTTCCTTCTAACTTTGTAAAAGAGTTAGAGGTAACAGATGATGGAGAAGCCCAAGAAGGCCTGGATGATGCAGGTAGCTTTTACAAGCAAATGATGGTTGGAATATGGAATAGACATTCAGTACTCCATTTAAGTACTGAGTGCAATTAAATACAGTGGACCTGCTACTTGCAGAATTAATCCGTATTGGAACGGTGGCTGCAGGTCGAAACGTCTGTAGGCAGAGTTTCCATTGACCTACAATGCATTGAAAACCGATTAATCCCGTAACTGGCCGTTTTTGTTCCATTTTTGTTCCATTTTGATTTTTTTCTAGTCTGTAGGTCGATTCTCAGGCTGCAAGTCGAACCTAAATTTTGCGGCCAGAGAAGTCTGTAACTTGAAAAGTCTGTAAGTCGAGCCGTCTGTAAGTCGAGGGTCCACTGAGTTTGTTAGCAATCTAACCATATAAAATGCTTCACATGCTTTGTATATGTATAAGGTTGTTAGAGTCAGAGTGATAATTTTCAGATAGGCAAGAATATGTGCATATGTATGGAAGATTAAGACCTAATTTATGGTTACTTGATTTTATTTATTTATAATGCATATTATTTATGCTCAGAGTGCTAACAATAATAAAGTACATGTTAAAAACAAGATTGCAATTAAATCATTACAAAAACAAACGTTTTAAAAACACAACAATAAGGAACATAGTCAGCAAGCAACTGGTTAGAGCCCCTTGAAAAACAGACCAGCAATTTTATTTAGTTCTGCCTGAATGCAAACGGTTTTGATTCTCAGGAGCAGGACCACAGAAACGGAGCAGGAGTTCTAGGAGTGGCCATTGAGAAAGCCTCTCTTTCATCCTTAGCAGATTTGCCACCAGTGTCAGGAGAACGAAGAAAAGGATTTCTCCTGAAGTTCTTACAACAAATTCAGGCAGACTTAAATGAATGTGGTTGTATTCTGCTCCCAAGTCCCATAGGATTTTGTTAGGTTATAACTAGCACGTCAAATTATACCCAGAACACAGACCAGAAACTAGTAAGTCAGTTGTAACTAGCCCTAGTCAAACACCTAGTTGTAGTATTCTGGCTTGGCTAAACATTTTGAAAAGCATTCCTACTGGTCACCCGAAGAGGATGTAACTGAAGCATATATTTATCTCCATGGACAGATCCCCATGGAGATGGCACAAGTAGGACATATTCCTCAACTATGAAAGCACGTAGTTAGCCATCACCAAAATCTGGGTCTCCAGTTTCAGTGCTAAATCCATGAGTACACCCAGATTGCAAATCTGAGTCATCGAGATAAGTATAAAAATACCGCACAAGTTGAATTCCTAATCTCTATTTACCTTTTGACTAACTAGAAATGGATTACATTTCAGTTTGTTGCCCTCATCTAGACCAAATGACAGTTATTTAGAACAAAATCAGCTTCCCTGACTCCAGTGTACCGGTAGCACCAAACCCCAAATTTTCAAACAACCTTTGGGGAAAGTTCATGTGGAAGAGTGGGGTAGGTTTGGCATTTCATTTTGCTTCGGCAAAACGGGACCCTTGAACTGGGTCATGAAACGAATCGCAAACCAACCCAGTTTCATCAGGGTTTTTTGTTCACAGTTCATTTCATGCCCATCTTTACTCAGAAACATGACATGGTTGATGGTACAGAACAGGGTGGGCAAAGCATGGCTTATGGGCTGCCCTGCCCAAAGGCCCCTGTTTTTTAAACAAATCTGCATTTGAAAGAAGGGCACCTTTGGGTCTAAAACCAGCTTGGCACGAGGCGTGAGAAAATAGACATGGGAGACTTTTTTCAGGAGGAGTGTATGTGCCCTGCCTCTTCCGGACTTCCTTTATCATTCTGTCCCCTTTGTCTGGGAATTGCCAGAACTTTAGAAGGTGGTTGCCCCAGTACAGAATGACAGATGAAGTCCCAAAAAAACTGGGCACATAAACCTCCTGAATATTTTATGGTGTAAACTATACATAAAGATGATCCAAAGGTCTGTTCCATAACCAAGCCTCAAACCAAATTGAAATGCATCTGAATATTTGGACACATATGCCAATATTGTGCTTAATTATTGCCTTGGATATGTATTAATAATTATTCAATATTACTACATTAAAATGTTTAAGTCAGGAATGGGGAACCTCCAGTTTTTGGGCCAAATGACAGCTCAGTTCAAATCTTTAATAATAATAATATATTTTTTTATTTATTGTCATTGTAAGTATAT